AAGTGAAGACCCACCTTTCATCCAGTCGAATGGTCAGTGTTTGTAATCCTCTTCTGCAATTCAAATGATGATCTTGAAACCCAAGTTCATTTGTATGTTTGTCAAATTTGTCAAAGTGTAGAGCCTAGGAAATGATTTATAAATTGGAGAATATACTAGTAATCTAATTTAATCATGATTGTGTCCATTTAGCAAAGAAAGCTCTTAATTATAAATTTAAAGTAATTATAAATTTAAATGTATGGCATGTTCATACAATGAGTGAAATTTAATTTACCATAGCAGACTTCAAAGTGTAACCAAGTAACAAGAGAAGATATTATCTATCCAGTTTACATTACAAAGCAGCTTAAAAATAGAATGTTGGACTGTGTGGAGTAACCCCAGGATTATTATCGAACAGGGTATCCCAAGAGTTTGGGAGATATGATGCTGTCTTTGACCTTCTCACAAAAGCACTTTTTCTTTTGCAAATACAGAGTTGTGAAATCACTCCAGCATAACCACAAGTCTACAGTACAAGCTTATAGAGATTCAAGTTTTTATAGTGCACTGCTCAAGCCATAACTTTGTTCTGTTTAGCTTTTGACAACACAATTGGAACGTAACATATATGCAGCAAACAGAAATATCCTATGAAGAAAGATTAGTCTTACAACTTAGAAAGATTAGACTTACAATTTAGACAGAAGAACCTTAATGGCAGTGGGTCATACTGAAATAACTAAAACACTTGGACATTTAGAATCTATTTCTCAACAAACAAGAGAGGAAGGGAAAAGAGGCAGGAAAATTGGGGAAGAAAACGTGTGCTCAGGCACGGGTATTACCTTTTGTCGGTTTGAATTACAGCCTATCAACCAACATGTAATGACAGATATTGCATGTTACACATTAAGCAAACAGAATCTCTCATTACTATCTGAAAGCAGTTTTTCCCAAGCCACTCTGTGTGTGTCATATCTCTTTGTGGTGTTTTGTGAAGCTTCACAGCCTGTTTTTTGTCTTTTCAATTTTTTTTTCTGTGCTCTTCCTGATCTGTATTATCTGACTGTATTTTCTGACTGTCCTGGATTTCAACTGGATGGTAGGTTCTTCCAAGAATTTGTTTTGTATTAGTTTTAAGGTTTAATTCTTACACCTGCACATGTACCATCCCGTACTCTGTTAAAAAAACAGTTTTAATGTCAGTGGTGACATGAGGATTAAGATTGTTCAGATTGTAATAATTAATTGCAATTTAGAAAATGCATTTTTGGGACAATTAAAAGCAATGTTTTCTGCAGATTTAAACAGAAAAGTTGGCTTCAGATTTGTGCTGATGTGCTCGAACATAAAAGCATTTTAGTTTGGACTGTGAATGAAATCAATAATTTAAAATAGCTTATTCACAAAAATGCTTCTAATCACAGCATTTTATTGCCAAAGTGTTCCTTTGACACAATGTAACTGCATTGCTTTGTTCTGGATTAACACTATATAGAGAAAAACAATCACAGTTGAAACATAGTTGTTGGTTGGGTATATGCACAATAGAGGTCATGGTTGAATTAAGCCTACACAAAAATACTTGCTCATCCACCTGGCATAATTACCATCCCTGATAATCTGCAATGCCATTTTTTTCTTCCTCAGTCAAATTCAGAACATCAATTTCAGTTAATGTCTGTCTAACATCAATCAACAGCCAGTAAAAGTTTTAATAAATACTGCAACTCAAGGGTAAAGAGAGGATAGTACTTTTGACTGTGACCTTCAATGCACACTAATGCTTGAATCCAGGAGGATACACATGAGAGTATTCAGTCCCAATTGTCCACTCCAGTAAAGTTGAACTGTTTTTTTTTAAACCCCATGTCTTTGTGTATTCTTCAAAAGGAAAAACACAAGATGTCTCTGCAATTTAGAATGCAATCTTGCTGTTGAGCAGGGGTTCATCAGCTCCTTATTATCTTTGCAGTCACAGTTCAGTCTGTTTTAAAGTTTCTTTGACACTTTAGTTATTACATCCCATCAGTCTCATGTAGATTCTGATTAACACCTACACTTTGCCTTTGTAGCAGTACTCTTAATAAAAATCCCATAATGGAATTCAAGGGCTAAAAATGCCTACAGTATTTTGGGGTTCTGATCCATCATCATAAATGTCATTTGGAAAGTTTTCAGCTAAAGATGCAAACAGAAAGGCATATTACTTTCAATTGAACTTCACATTAGAATTCTGAATCAGTAGTAAATGGCTCTTAAGCAAATGTGATAAAAATCAATAGTCCTCTATTTGAATCCTACTACAGTGATTAACATCTAATTTTTTTTATTAAATCTGAATATCAGTCATGGTAATTACTCGTCTTTTTAATTGCAAGATTGCTTCTAACAGTAATTGCCATACACACACTGCCAATTAGGACCATCTAGGATTGATTATGAGTGCTGTACTTCCAAGAAATCTCTTACAAACTTGTAGTATTTTGCCGTTGTAGCTTGGAGTTCACCATCAGAATCAAAACATTATTGCATTTCATCTGATCAAAACATCTCCAAGTACTTCACACAATGAGTTGCCTTTGGAAAAATAATTATTGCCAGGCAAGCACTTTGGGATCACTGTTTAAGTCACATCTCTCAAATGTCTGATGACCAGACGTGGCAATGAGATTTTAATGATGCAGCTTACTCCTGAAACTATATGTTTGGTTTTTACATCAAAACCCTTTCAATCATCGGAAGTAAACTATGCAAAAGGTGCAGAAAAAATCTGAATTTACGTTTAAAAATAGTTCAATTATCAGAAGGCTTTGAATTAAACAACTTTAATCAAAAGGGAATGGACTGTATTAGCTGAAGAATAGGCTGGAATATAGCAATTGTCAGATTTTCATCAGCCCATGTTGTGGAATCTGTAATGACTCTTGGAATGAAATGATTAGAAAGTTTAATTATTAGGTCACTTCAACAGGTGAAGATAATCTGCTGTGCTGCTGATCAAGAAATTATTTTTAAAAATTGGTTGTAGGGCTATGGCTGTAAAAGGAATACACTTTTATTTAAAATACCAAGTTCATTTTTATTTTCAAGCATATATCTTCAAACAAATAAACCGCATCAGTTTGGTTTAAAGTTATAAAGAGAAAAACAGGGAAAATACCATAAATTTTGTTTTATTTGGAAATATATGCTAATACAATTAATAAAGCAAAATAATTCCAACTCTCTTGTTGCTTCCAATTCACACAAACAATTCTAAATACTAATATGATCAGTCATTGAGGCATTGCACAAAAATGTAAAACATCGTCCTACTGTCTCTCTTGTAGCTCTCGCTACTTAATTTCCAAAACACTGCATCTCATTTTCTTTCTTTCTCTCAAACTCAGTCATTGGTGTCTCTATATCTGTTTATCTTGACTCTTGTTCTTAATTTCATGGTCACTTTTTCTGTCAGTTTCTCTGTGCTGGTTTTTTTTTTGTATATTTTTCATGATATGTCTTTCACACTCTTCCTCTGTCTCTCATATTTTATGTTATTCACCATTTCCAACTCTCTCAACTCAGTGTCACCTCACTGATAGCTATGGAAGCAATCTTATCTTTTTCTTGGACTAAATAATTCACCGGTTTCTAGTCTTCTTATATTTGCCTGTTATAAACTTTGTCTGAAAGTCCCAGCTTTCAATTGCACCTCAACTCCAGTAACTAAGGATAGTAATGGACGTGTGACAGGCTAGTGGCCACAAAATAGCAATAGAGAGTGACAAAAGTGAGGCATGAGCAGTGAAGCTAGAGATGCTGTTGGGTGAGCGGTAGCAAGCCGAAAGACCGGGGTCAGAAAGAAGAAAGCAGGAATGAAATAGGCTTTACCCAACCAGAAAGAATTGATCAATAAGTTCCATAGCATATGGGTTGGAAGATGGCAAAGCAGCTAAGCAGGGGCCCATAAACCAATCAGAAGGAAGGTTTTGGGGCTTTCTTCACTCCATAAATGAAAGTTTCAATGCGGGCACAGTTATTTCTGGAGATTTAAATGCCACATTGTTTCTTCTTGGTACAGAACTGGTCATACATGTGACTAAACCAAATGGCTTTTCGGACTGATTGGTCAAAGGAACACAGCAACCACACGGTCGTCAAAAACATAGAAGTTGCTACGTTGTCCTAAAGAAAATGGATTTTTGCTAACTTTAGGCTTTCTGCCAATTATAAACAGTGTGGAACTCATTGTCTTAAGGAGATCAGACATTAGACAAAAACAGTTAATCCTTCTTAGCAATCATGCACAGAGAGTTGCATGGGGATTGTCGACCCATACAGGTATCTTTGAATTTAACTCTTATGCACTTGGCATAAATGTATTGAACTCTTAAGACATTTGATGAATAAGATGAGGCATGTTGGACTGCAAATTGCACATGAATGTAGTTTATGGACTTGAAGCTGTAGCAATGCAGGAAAATGCCATTAAGATTCTTTTAATGACTCTAGTATTGCTTTGCTCCCTTTGAAACATATTATCATCTGCACGCCTGATTATTAATATTCAGTCACATCAGCTTTCTTCAGATCTGCACTGCAAAATCACTCAGCCATTTAAATGGTAGATTGCCTTTTGTGACCTACGTTTTCAAGTTCAATTGTTTCAAAAATCAATAGCAGACCCAAGATAGTGTCTGATAAAGTGATCCACGGTGCTGTTTTGAATAGTATTTTTGAATTCATTTCATAACTGAAGTGGTGGTTTTAATTCACCTCTCAGTCAATATGGCAAACCTTTACCAGTTGACTGAGCTGAAACCACTTTGTATTTATGAAAACTGTTAATCCAATGAAATCAGTGCTCTATTAAAGCTGGCAAAAGGCATACTCTACTGCATCTACAGCCTCTCTTATGAGGTTAAAAAAAAACATGCTTTTCTTTAAATCAGGAGTTTCACTGTCAAGATATTGTTCACAGTAAAGCAGTGCCTGTGGAAACTCAGCAAAATTTTGCTTCCTCTTCACAGACCAAACAGGATGATGATGATGCAGAAACTGGTTTAACTGAAGGTGAAGACAAAGATGAGGAGCTAAAAGAGGAAGAAAAACTTGGGAAATTGCAATTTTCATTGGACTATGACTTCCAGAATAACCAGGTGAGATGCAGTATTCTGATTTCACTGCAACAGTAAACCTCTTACAAGATATTGTAGAAATTCATGGAGATCAATACATTATGGTTCACTCCAGCATTCAGTTTGTTCTTAGGCAAGCTGCTTCGAAAGATTTCCATGTCCAAAGGGAAAGAGAAATGGATGATTTAATTACTCACATGGCCATGGCTAAACTGAGCAACTGCAACCATGAGATAGATTTGAAATCATGACCCTTTTTGAAAAGAAGTAAAATATTTGAGTACTGATCTTTTCATTATAGTAATTTGCCAGTCTTCAATCTTCTAAACATATAAAGTAACTGCTTAATAAGACAGCTTATATACCCCTGATTGGTTAGGGGTCAATTAGCTCAATTGATTAGATGTTTGGTTTGTGATGTAGAGAGATGCTAATAGCATAGGTTCAATTCCCACCCTGGCTGAGGTTACCATGAAGGACACTCCTTTTCAATGTCTCCCCTGACAGGAGGCTTGGTGCCCCTCAGGTTAAACCACCACCAGTCATCACTGTCTAATAAGAGAGCAGCTCTACCTATGTCATTTGTGCCAATACGGAGAATGACTTCTGTCTGTTTAACCCTTCCATTTGAGGATGCCCTGTACTCACTCAGAGACATCCATGACCCTGGCACCAGGAAAGTGATGTACCATCCTGGAGTCTCTCTTGTGGCCACAGAAGTGCCTACATGTGCCACTAACTATCGAGTCTCCAATTACTACTGCTCTGCTACGCTTGGTCCCTCCCCTCTGTACAGCAGGGATAATCATGGTGCCAGTACCCAACTGCTTCTGCTGTCACCGATCCCTCTCATCAGTATCTAAAGTGGAATACTTGTCCGACAGGGGGACAGCTATAGGGGAGTCCTGCGCTGATTGCCTGCCCCTTCTAACAGTCACCCATCTATCTTCCTGTAACTTGGGTGTGACCACATTACTATAACTTCTTTCTAATTATTCTCATAGGATAAGGATTAGCAGACTTAAAACCAAAAACTATGACCTCTCATCCAGAGTGCCTTACATGAGGAAAGATCCTGTCTATGTTTACATTGTCAATCCCCTTCAGCATCTTTTATACCTCAATAAGATCTCCTCTCATTATTCTAATTTCCAGACAGTATAGGCCTAAACTGCTCCATCTTTCTTCATAAGACAAACCCCTCATGTCTGGAAACAATCTAGTGAACCTTCTCCGAACTGTCACCAGCACAATTACATCCCTCCTCAAGAAAAGGGACTAAAATTGTACACAATCCTCCAGATGTAGTCTTACCAATGCCTTGTACAGTTGCAGCAACACTTCCCTCCTTCTATATTCTATTCCTTTAGCAATAAATGTCAAAATTCCACTTGTCTTCCTTATTACCCACTGTATCTGCATGCTAGTTTTCTGTGATTCATACAATGGATACCAGATCCCTCTGCAAAAGCAGATTGGTCAGTGGGAAGGGTGAACCAGATAGGTCAGGTCAGGGAGGTGAGGAGGAGGGGGAGAGCTGGACATGGAGTAAGGCTGGGAGTGGAGCGATTTTGAAGCTGGTGAAGTCAATATTGAGGCCATTGGGCTGTAAGCTCCCAAGGCAAAATATCAGGTGTTGTTCCTCCTGCTTACATTTGGCCTCACTAACAGTGGAGACAGGCAAGGATGGACATGTCGCCAGGGAGTGGGAGGGAGAATTAAAATGGATGGCAAACGGAAGGTCAGGTTGGGTGGTGCGTGCAGAGCGCAGATGCTCTGCGATCCGGTCCCCAAGTCTGGGTTTGGCCTCAATATTGACTTCACAGCTTAAAAACCCTTCCAACAGAACACCCCACCCTGCCTCCCTGACTTGACCTAACCTGTACATCTTCCTACTCACCTATCTGCTTCCCATTGACCAATCACAATAACCCCCTACCTGCATTCGCCTATCACCATCCAATCTACCATTCCCCCTCCCTCTATGTACTTCTGGACTTCCCTACCCCTCCCCAGTCCTGACGAAGGTTTTGGCCTGAAACGTGGACTTTCCTGCTCCTTGGATACTGTCTGACCTGCTGTGCTTTTCCAGCCTCACATCTCTTGATTCGATCCTGGCTTGATCTGTAGCTCAAATCCATTTACGTGTTTTTGTTCCATATCCCTTGAGGCACTTGACTTGTATTAATCCATTAGCCTCAGTCTTGAAAAAATTCAGCAGATCCAGGGTTCAACCTTTTGAGAAAGAGAGAGTTCCATTTTCCCACACCCCTTTGTGAGAAGGGAAGCTTCTTTAGCCAGTGTTCTGACATTAGTACTTGCTACTCCATGGAGCAATTAAAGCAAATATCATAGTTTTAGAGGAATGTAGATAGTACATGAGGGAGAAAAGCAATATAGAGATATATTGGTTTGTTGGCAAGGTGAAATTAAGTAAATAGAGTTGTTGGAGGCTCATGTGGGACATGAATATGAGCAGTGATGGATTGAAGAGCCTCTTCCCGCTATCAATTCTGTACAATTCTTGGTTTCGTTCCTAAATGGCCTAGCACTTAACTTCATCTTCAGGTTAACGGATTAAATATCTTTGTATTTTTTCTTCCTGATGTCCTTCTCTAGGTTTTCCTTAAATGCGGTATGCAATCTGCATTACCCACTCCATGTAGCAATGATTGCCATTATCTCTTGTTCCAGATTCCCCACAGGAATATTTTTGCCATCCACACTATCAGATTATTTTCTCAAATGTCTTGATTAGCCTATCCTTGAACTCGTCTAAACTCAAGCTAATACAAAATTTACCCTTCTAATTTAACACTTTAACTACCAATATAATTTGATGAATCTGCATTGTACCTGTGACTAATACGTGCTTCCTGTCTTTTGGTGCTCAAAGCTGATACATTGATGCAAGGCCAACATTCCATTAGATATAGATTTTATTGTCATGTGTACTCGAGCACAGGAATACAGTGAAAAGTGTATAAATCGCCATTCTCAGGTGCTGCATTAGAATACAAAAGACAGGATTAAAAACACAAGCAGAAATAAGAGAAAAAGTCAAAAGAAAAGGAAACATCCAAATCTCTCCTTCATCTCCACCAGGAGTCCTTGCTGCCAGAAAAACAAAGCCACAATGTCCATCCCTCAGTCAGCGAATAACACCACCTTCGCAGACACCCGGGCTGACCATTGTCTGGAACCATGTCACCATTCTTCATCGCCATGAACCCACTGAAGCTCAAAAAAGCATCGGGCTCAAACTTGCTGCGGGCCCATCACACCTAAGCATCCAGTGCCTCTTCTGGCTTACATTGCTACCGCCTCCTAGATCCCCCATTTCAGCAAAGGAAGCCACTGCTGCCACTGCAAAACAATGTTCTAGAGCATACAGAAAAGGCAAAAGAACGACACAAAGTCATAATAATTAGTGAATGGCTGATTATAGATATGATGGGCTGAATGGCCTCCTAAGCCATAACCTTTTGTGATTGTCAATTCTTCAGGTGAAATATTGTACCTCTCACCAGCTTTAGGCATATGGACATTTAAGTCCCTTTTTGCTTCCAAAGCACCTTGTCTCTCATCAGTAAGAAAATATTAAGAGTTGCCTTTCTCAAATATAAAGTGTATGACTTCAATTCTCCATTGTTATCTGCTATAGTTTCTCCACTGGGTCATTAAGAAAAGACAACAAATGCTGGCCTTGCCAGTGACAATCATTGACCATTTTTTGAAAAACTCCTTGGTTCACACCTACAGAAATTTCTAATGGAAAAACATGGTAAATTCATATTCAAACATTGATGGAAAACAGATTGTAGAATCACTCTGTACACACATTAGCAGCATGAACTCCTATTGTGTATTGTTCTTGAGTCTTAGCATGGAAATTACAAACTTGTTTTTACTAATAGTGATGATCATCTGTGCTACCATCTCACCACAGTGTCCATTGAATGATTACATATTCCTCTGTATTTAAACATGACAAAATCTCTCACAAGGCTCCTTGCCAATGACAAACTACATACATGTTTTAAAATGGGCTGCAATGGTCTGTTACACTTCTGTTGCCTTGAGCCTGCATTAGCTGATCCTAATTAAGGTCAAATCACAATGAAAGTTTGAGTGCCCACTGGAGGACTCTGGAAATGCCATCATGGCTGACTATACAACATGACAAAGATATAATTGACATCTCATTCAACAAAAAGCTTTAAAGAGGCTCACTTCCCTGCCTGAGATTTTCATTTCTCACCTAAAGGACTGAAATACTCAAGGTTATAACATGTTAATGAATGGTAGGGACAGCATAAATCACTCTGAATCAGTTTTCTGTATACAACAGAGAATAAAGTCATACAATTCAATTGTTTCTTCCAAATTTCTCTCTCTCTATGCCCAAAATGCATTAACATTACTGTAGACATCAGGATGTACTTGATAATCCTTCATTAATTTGTTCAATTAGTTTTTTTTATGCATGGCCTAGACAGTGTGTTATCAGTTTCAAGTCAACTGCATAGAACATAGTAACTGGAGGCAATCCAGCTGTCAACTAGTGCAGCAGAGGGGTGGTAGGGAGAGAGATGTATCTCTCTCCAACCAGCACAAAAACCATAATGACTGGGTTAAAATTGTGGACCCATTGAGCTCCTAATCAGCTTTAAATCTTTTTTCTGAAGTGGGGGGGTGTTGGTGTTGGTGCTTTCTATTAGATGACCAACACATCTGTCCGAATCAGATGTCTGGTAGATCACATGCTCTACCGTCACCATCAAGCCAAGGGATCAATCCTAGTTCAGTGGAGGGCACACACAAGCCAGGAGCAGTATATTGCATACTGAAAAATTAAGTGTTAATCGACAGAAGCTACAGCACAGGATCATGTGCATAAAGACAATGGAAGCCATGCGATAAACAAGGTTTGGCAATCTCAAAACCAACAGATCAGAAATAAATTATGCAGTACTGCCAAATCCAGTTGTGAATGGGTATGGATAATTAAGTAAGCAATT